TCAATACGACTTTTGATCAGTTGGATTTTCAATTTCAATATAAAAAAAAAATGTTTTGGGTTTTCTTCTTTTCTTTCAATTTATATCATGATTCTTTGGATATTTCCCATTATCTTCTGATTTTTTTTTTGTCAGCTAATGTTCCTAGACACAGATAACAACGAGAAAACCTTGTATAAATGACCTAGATCAAAGAGTCTGAGCTATGTTTGCTGTTAATAAAACACAAGTTGAGTAAAATGTCATTTATTCAGAAATTAATTTAAAATGCAACTTACATCTTAACAATTATAATAGTACTGCATAAATGACAATGACTTTAATAAGCAAAGGTGGGGTTGAAAAAGTGCCACACCCTTTTGAAAAAATTAACTCACCAACATATATATATATACAAAGTATATAAACAATACAATGAATATTGTCCTTAATTGATGTTTAAAGAAAAATAAATGTCCTATATAATAACGCTTAAAAGGGAGGGAAATGGGAGGGTTTTCAGATAAAATTCAAAAACGATCTTTTCTCTCTCCCAAAACAAAGGCGAATGACCGCATGTCCGAGCACATGTAGAAATTTGATATTAATTATCGATCTCAAGAACTGACCAATCAGATAATGTAATTAGATGATCATGCATTGAACATGCAGTCCTTGACCTCATGTTGATATACTTAAACAAAGAAATGCCTTCTTACACACATGGCATTAATAAAATCAATATTATCGGAAATTCCAGCCAAAAAGTCTTTTATTTACAATAAATGTTATTTTGTCAGCTAATGTTCCTAGACACAGATAACAACGAGAAAACCTTGTATAAATGACCTAGATCAAAGAGTCTGAGCTATGTTTGCTGTTAATAAAACACAAGTTGAGTAAAATGTCATTTATTCAGAAATTAATTTAAAATGCAACTTACATCTTAACAATTATAATAGTACTGCATAAATGACAATGACTTTAATAAGCAAAGGTGGGGTTGAAAAAGTGCCACAAATCCCAAGAGGGATCCCCATCCGAGGACTCTGTATTCAACTTAAGGAACTCCAGAACTAGAAAAATTGAGCAAGCCATGTTGACCTCAACAAAAAACACCCAAAATGGAATAAAATATACACCTTTTAACTTTTGCATTTCAAGTAAAAGTGTAGAGCAAACCATGTTGACCTCTACAAAAACATTAACACAGATTATAAACAAAGCAAAAAATAATATATACTAATATAATGAAACTTGTAAATGAAAGGTAAAGCAAGCCATGTAGACCTCTACCAACCAAATAAATACCATTACATATATAATAAATGACTGATGGCAAAAACTTAAATTTGCAGAGCAAACCATGTTGACCTCTACAAAAGTAAATAATTCTAACATGTATAAAACAGTCTTGTTAATCCTTACAAAAAATGAATCACAATAAGGTAAAGCAAGCTATGTTGACCTCTACCAAAGCACTTAGTAAGCGACTGTGATTATATTAAATCTAAGTGTGAAAATTATCAAGTCGAATATAATGTTGAAAAGCGTTTGACTTCCATCTACCCATGTTTTGGATCAAGGCTAAAGGCACACCTCTGGCAGCTGCAGATGTCGCAGCTCCAATTCTGAAACTGTGACCTTTATAAAAATTTGTGTCTAAACCTACGAAATTAAGCAAACTTTTTAATGAAGAATTGAAATAAAAACCTGAAACAGGTTTTCCACATTTAAATCGAAATAAAGGACCAAGTGGACAATTATGTAACCTTAGATATTCCTCAATAGCTTTAACAGGACATAGATAATTTTCAGGACGTCTAGCTATTGATAATGTCTTACTTTGCAGATTACTATGTTTGTAGAACTTCATAGTAATTGTTATATTGCTCACATGACCATTTACTCTTTCAAACTTTATATCTTCCCTTTGAATTACTCTATAGAATTCAGACTCAGTTTTAACTGCAATTTCTCCAATACGTAAGAAACAAAAATAAGCTGTAGACATCATAGCCTTTAACAAAACTTGATTATAAATGCCAACTATTACTTTTGGTAAAGCCTTAACTAATTTTACAAGAATATCATAGGTTATTGGCAACCGTGTATCAACAGAATGTCTCAACTGTTTTGTACCTTTTAACATTTTTTTAATAAAAAATGTGTCTGTTGGATCCTGTAAGAACTTAATTTTATGTATAAAACTGATGGCTGATATGTATGACGCAATTGTAGCTATAGATGGTTGATAATTTTGAATAAACAAATGTGAAATAAAATGAGCAACCATGACATGAGTAGATGGAAGTACAATAACTCCTGGAAAAAATTTCTGACAAAAATTTGAATACACACTTAGCATTCTATTATATGATGACACAGTAGCATCAGATAATGATGCACTAACAAGCTTATTAGTCATAGATGCAAAAATTGAGGTGGAATGGCCACAGGAGTTGGACTTAACCAAGGAGCAATCTGATGAGCTTCTTGAAATGAAAAACGAGACAACAAGTCACAAATAACGTTTGTTTTTCCAGGAATATGTTTGGCTCTAAAATAGATATTGTACTTTAATGCAGCTAGCACTAATCTTCGAATCAATTTCATAATATTCTTTTCTCGAGATGATATTTTATTTATAATTTCAGCAACAGCTGAATTATCTGTTAAAAACAGTATTTTATGATTTGCCAATAGAGGGCCCCATATATCAATAGCTAACACAATCGGGAAATTTATTTCTATTCCGTTATATTTGGAATTTCCCTATTCTATTTCTATCTTTAGACTTGTGGTACAAGTTTGGCTAGTATGTAAATCAGAAGTGGTCTGATGTTACTGTTGTTTTCTGCACGAATATTTCGAGGGCGGTAGTACGGGTGGGGTTTTATAGGCATATATAAGTCCTGATTACGTTTGATTATTATCGATGTGCTCCAGTAACTTTGATAGACGAAGTTAACGTTAAGCTCTGCAAAATATATTACAGTTATGTTTGTATTGATATGTATTTAGAGGACATTGTGAATGTATATAGATGGAATTGTGGTATATTTTTGTAATTTGTAAAATGTTTACAAGATATTAAATGTTGTTTCGCTGAGAAAATAAGAAAGTTACTGCGAGCAAACAAACCTAAATTATGACTTGTCTCTTGTTTAGCCATGTATTTAGAATAGAAATGTTTTAAATTCGGACGAATTCATGAGGGAGAATTTAAAAGTTCTTTCACTGTAATGTGTAAATCGACTAACTCCGGTGGCCATTCACCTGAAAACCATTTGCTGCCAAAAACTGCAGCAAAACCACCATATGTACCTGCAGCATCAGAAAAAAGTTTTAAAAAATCTGATGAAACCCATTCTTTAAATAAAAAACAAGATTTACCATTGTAATTTTCAATAAAATTGTACCATAACTTCAGATCTTATCTTGCATCAGAATTAAGATTGATTCTATAATGAGGAGATGTATGGCCTATAGTCAGGTCAAAAAGCCTACGTAAAAAGGCTCTTCCAGGTATGATAACTCCGCATGCAAAATTTAAAAGACACAATAAGGATTGCAATTCTCTAAGTGAGATACTGCGTTTACATTTGTATTTACTCAATAATTGCAAAATTTTTTCAATTTTTTCCATAGGTAAACGAGCTACCATCTGAGTAGAATCAATTTCAATACCGTAGATAATAATGCAAGTAGTAGAGAGTTGTGTTTTGTCTGATTTGATGGGTACCCCCAATTTATCGGCAAGACAAAGAAAAGTTTGTAATGCACTATAGCATTCATTTGAGCCAGCTTTTCCGACAAAGAAAAAATCATCTAACAGGTGTGATACCCCATATATTTGAAATTTAGCATTTAAAATCCAGTGGAGGGCTGTAGAAAAAGACTCAAACAGCTGACACGAGGACGAAGCCCCCATGGGGAGGGAGACATCATAATAAAATTGTTTGTCCCAATGAAAACCCAATAGATGATGATCTTTTTTAGCAATTGGAATTAAGCGAAATGCATGCTCAATATCTGTTTTGGACATTAGACAATTTGATCCATAAGATAGGACTAAATCTATAACTGTTTCAATGTTTTGGTATTGTACAGCCGAAAATTCTGGGGAAATACCAGAGTTTACAGAGTCACCCTTAGGATACGACAAATCATGTATTAATCGATAAGAATTGGGTTCCTTTTTTGGAACTAAACCCAAAGGGGAGCATACAAAGAGAGGGAAAGGGGGCTTTGTAAAAGGACCCTTAACTCTACCTGCTTCAATCTCTTTATTTAGTTTTGATTGCACAACATGATAATTTTCCCTTACACTTTTATGGTTTGGAGGAAAAATCTCTTTATTTAGGGATGTAGAAAAACAAGAATTAATTGAAAATCCAAAAGAAAAACCATGAATCAATTTATCTTTCAACTGTGTTTCATAACCTGCTAAAAAGTGTTTTAAATTTTCAACCTTTATTGGTGTTGGAAGTTTTGACAAAGTTTGCTTGTTTTCCTTTTTGCTCTGGACATGTAAGGGTACAGTGTTTCTTGCTGCAGTGTACACATTGGTGTTTAAGTTTACAAAACTTTGATGTGCATTCCCCTGATTTACAGAAGGCCCAGCAATAGCCATTTGGGAATTGATACTGATGCTGGGCCCTCCTATGAAAAGAATTTGGGCCTGAGTTTGAGGTTTTGGCAAATGACTTCTTATTTTGACCTGAAAATTCAGATTGTCTGTCATATAAAGCTGCAGATCTCCAAAGTTCGTCATTTACTTCATCCCATCGTAACCCTAAAATTTTCCTTATCTTCCTAAATTTTTTCGTCATATAATTTAGCGGCTTGGAAACCCAAGGACTTGCATAATGACCGTACATTAAAACCATATTTTATCAATGCTTTAGCAGACCTCAAATTCTTTTCAAGATATATAGACATAAATATATCAAAAGCATTTGTCCATTGGTGAATGGACAAAAGCTCTTTGTTAGGTTTCCTATTTGAAATCGTAATATTTAAATTTTCAAATAATGTTGATTCATTACATGTATCATCAATATTAGAAGGTAACAATAGGCAAAATTTACATAATTATCACACCAAACATCAGATTTAACCTTATTGCTGACATGGTAATCTAAAGGTATAGTATGTCTCAACATTTCACATGCATATGGATTTTCTTCATTTGAGTTTAGCAGCTCACCATCAGAAGGAGTGTTGATATTAGGATCTGAGGAAACTGGTGGTTGAAAGACAGCTAACATTGGTCCCTGGGAGTCAGTAGTTGACGAATTTTCTGGTTGTATAGATGATGACGACAATATACCAGTTAAGTCATTAATTGGAACTGCTGTATTGTCTTTGACAAGTTGAACGCCAGAACTTTGAAACTTCAGGAACAAAGCATCAGCAATGTCATTTGCGGTTGGAACAGACGACTGTTTAGTATTTGTTTCATGAACTGACAGATTTTCAGGAGCTGTTTGTCTGGCCTTGCGTCTCCGCACTGGTGGCCTGTATATTGGTGGTAACTCCTGACTTTGTTCCTCCACTAAATCGTGAACATCCTCTACCAGGTTTTGTGGAGCAGCCTTTCTTCTTGTTCTGCTTTTCTGCTTTGGCATTTTGCTATAAATACATAAAACAAAAAATAAAAATAGAAATCCTGTATTATCACAGAATTTAAAGAATGTTACTATATAAGTAAAATTTTTAAACCAAAATGCTTGTCCGGCATATTAAACATAGTTGATATGATGATATATCAAGCAAAATATACTCATGTTTAAAATTAAGTTTGATTATGATATGCTAATTAATACTCCAAAACCAATTTTTAAAACCAACCAATATGTATAAAGTACTTCAATTGTACCAAAATCGATCCCTATTGTGACACAACCATTATAGGGAAAGACGTGATTTATTCTCTGATTAAATAAACTAATAATACACTAATATAATAGTATATAAACCATGATTATGAATAAATAATCAAAATTAAATATAAACAGAGACATATTATATTATATAACTCTGATATAAATGATGTAACCAACCAAAATAAAATATAGATAAGACATTTTTCATGTCACCAGTGTCACAACCATGTGCATATAAGCACAACCACTCAGAGATATTTTAAATTATAAAATCGTTAAGGTGATGGAGTAATAATATGCAAATAATTCATAGATAACTAAATAATTGTATTGTATGCTTCTTCTTCTTCGTATGTCCTTCCAATTAGGAACAATAAGTAATAACAATCATACACGGTAGTTTGCAACGCAAGTTTGCTCGACATTACATGTACGTGAAAGGCTACCAACAGCAGCACGAACACTTCTAGCGTATATTTCCATACCTTCATCATTAAGATGAACTTTATCTTTTAATAATAAATCTGGGGTGTTCTTCCACAACCCCCTATGATGCCAGAAAGTCGCATTATCTCTTTGTTTTAGTAAATGACTAAGTTCTTTGTTTACAATGTAAACCTTGTTGTTATAATAGGTTTCCGGTCTTTCGGAATACCTCGGGAGAAGTTGACCAATAACCACGTGGTTAACATGATAGCAATTAATTATGTAATCGGCAAAAACGCTGATATCTCTTGCTAATTTTACGGGCTCATTTTCAGACGATAAATCGTTGCCTCCAACCTGAAGAAAAACCGAATGTGGCGTATATTCTTCAATTATATGCATATAATGTTGCTTTTGAACACATTTATTACCGGGGCGAAGAGTCCCTCCCCCAAACCAAAAAATTCCACCTGGATATCGGTTCCGTCTAAACCTAAATTTAACCAACCTCGATCACAGTTTTCATGAGTAAATGTTTCTAAACGACGAATAAAAGAATTACCAAAAATTAAGGCACGCCGGACCATGGTTCAAAAGCAACTAATCTATTATAAAAATTAATAAATTAAAAATTAAGCTATCAAAAATATATTGAATAATAGTTAAGGTTCGCTTTTACCTTATAATCTGTGGATTCTTCGATGACTGCCTTTCTTCAGTACTTTTTCAGTTTTTCAGATAAAATTCAAAAACGATCTTTTCTCTCTCCCAAAACAAAGGCGAATGACCGCATGTCCGAGCACATGTAGAAATTTGATATTAATTACCGATCTCAAGAACTGACCAATCAGATAATGTAATTAGATGATCATGCATTGAACATGCAGTCCTTGACCTCATGTTGATATACTTAAACAAAGAAATGCCTTCTTACACACATGGCATTAATAAAATCAATATTATCGGAAATTCCAGCCAAACAGTCTTTTATTTACAATAAATGTTATTAAGATGAATAATTTAAAATTTGTATACCAAACATTTAAAATTTTACTCTGCATTTATAGATAGCATTGAAAGTACAACATCTTATAAGCGATAAACATTGATAGATGTAAATGAGCCACTCTTTCTCGTGTTGAGATGGAATATGTTCGTTATTTGATTTGATGAGTTTAACAATCGAAACCCCTGAAATATCGTCTCATGACAAGCACGAAAAATGGCAAAACTGAACTTACAACAGCGGGCGATGATTTCTAAGTATACAATACTCTTGCAATGGATTTTTAAATGCATTGTATAAATTATCAATTTAGACATTTCTGATCCCGAATTACTTCTTTGTTAAAACTATAATGCACTATTTCATGGTCAACTAACCCAAGAAGTCAAATGAAATATCATAATCGTGGTAATTGTTTCATGATATGTTTCAGCTATCATTTGTGACTTTCAGCAAGTGACATTCCCTGTTGACCATATTAAACAGTGCACAATAATAAATTAACATATACGTTTATACATGAGGTTAAGAATTATCGAATGGACTAATTTTTTTCTACGGTTTCCCTTTATCAATCGATGGGCATTCCATTCCCTTTTGAAATTACTTAATCGAATATGAAGTCTCATGCACGAAGAAGTTTGTCTGACGTGAAAATACGTAGTCCCATATCTCGAGGCTACATGGAGACACAAAGAGTAAAATAAAAAGGCAGGACTACATTTACATTGAGATTATATACATTTAAAGAAAAATGCAGGACAAAATTTTTCATCATAGCCTGATCACTACAACGTTTTTACAAAATATTCGTTCCCGTGAAAATTAAGATTTGTTTAACTTAAAAATTTCATCAAGGTCTCTTCTTAGGATATAAGCCTTCTGGTGGCTGGCTTTCAAGTCGACAAGATAGCAGGTCAATGTATTCAAGTGAATTTAAGATGTGTTGCAATTCTAAAGTACAATGGGTAAATCAATCTTATCTTCGATTTGCCACATGGGCATCTCTATAAAGTAATACAGTCCATGCGTGACCTATAACATTAGAAAATTTTATGCATTTCATTGGATATTTTCTATTACAATCCAGGCCACCTATAATTACCTATATTAATTAACTTGTCTGAACGCGAATTTTTATAAAACCCTTTGTTTGATTTTAATTTCTGAAAATTAAACTTAACTCTAGAACAGACCTTTTACGAACGTCGGGCTGGGACTTGTGTGAATTCGGGATTTACAAGTATTAAACTCAGGAAAATATCATTAACTTTTCGGGATTCGGAGGAAAAATTGCTTCAGTAAACACTGTTGAGGAAAAAAAATCATTTTATATCATAATTCTAATTTCTTAAATATTTGCAAACTCTTAAAAAATTTCAAAACCAGCTGATTTTTTTTTTGGCATTTCTTGTTGAATAACTTTTAAAAATGGTGATGTACAAGACTTCCCAAATTTAATCCAAAATTCAACTACGTTACTCAAAACTTTTAATATTGAAACAAAACGAGATATCAATATTTTTTTTTATATCAAATTCGAATACTGGGAGCTATCTGCAGTCGGTTCATAGGACCTCAGTTTTAATATAGGCGTGGCATTCCATCACTTTTATCCAATCAACGGTCAATCGAGCGTCACTGATGAGTCTTTTGTAGACAAAACGCGTGTCTGGCGTAAATATAAAATTGTAATCCTGGTATCTATGATGAGTTTATTTATAATAAAGATTGGCGTGCAATCATGTATCTGAATCCAATAGTATCAATTTAGATAAATATATTCATATTTCTGGACGTACATATGTCGAGGTTTAGACTATTTCATTCGATAGTTATATCTATCTATAACTGGATGCTGAGTATCACATAATTATTACTGTTTCGCAAATTATAATAATTTAGATATTTGACCAAAAAGAGGCAAAATCGTAGAGGCAGTCCCATTATGTGAAGAATAAAACATATTGAGCTTTCTGGACTTTCTTCTGTCCACTAGCAAATGTCACCCTGTGTCTCTGAAAATATATAACTACCCGACTAGCAAACACGGGCGACCCAGTGACTTATCATTCTGCTTCAAACTTAACGTCATGTTCTAAATTCATGACAACAATTCCCTATAATAATCACATGTTGTTTAAATTGCTATAAGAACACAGAGGTTTATAATTTGTTTATTTAATATTTTTATCTAAATTCACATTTCGCCTTAGTTCAATTCCCATCTCGCCTTAGTACCATATTTTTTACCTTTTTTACCTGGAATTCACAGCTAAGGCGAAATGAGAACACACCAGTAAGATTATCTAGTCAGTACATATTTCATTTTTTTTTTAATTTAATGTTGTGCTTGCACAACTTAAAACGTATTCTATATGTGTATAGAAATTACCATTGGGATCAAAAGTAATTCCTAAGTGTTAATGACAGAAGACAATTCTACTACTTGATTTCTTATGTCATCTGGGGAAAAATTAAAGGAAAATAGCATATTTTGCATTTGTCTTGTTAGGATTAAAATCAATAAGCCAATCTTTAGACTATTTATTCTAAATCGCTATTTAAGACAGCCTTTATTGTGTAAGGACTATTACTTAAATTAGAAAGGGATGTTTAATCAGCACTCAATCGAGGTAGACTTATCAAATTACCAGCTATGTAAATAATAGGGGACCTAATACAGAGCCTTGCGGAACTCCTGCATTTGTATTCTCAAAAGGCGAATATGAACTTGAAACAAAAACGCTTTCTTGTCTATTTGAAATATAACTAAATAAGTGATTAAATATATTTTTAAATACACTTTTTTCAAATACTTTGCTCACTGCTGATAATAATGAGATTGGTCCATTATTGGAAATCAGGTTTTGAATACATATATATATATATACATGTATGCTCAAAGTCAACACATTTTAAAGATTTTGTGAAAATACGATGGTTATATGCATTTTTTTTACATAAAGCACAAATTACTTTACATATAGTGTCAGATCAAAATATCTTAAATACCCCAGTCCAGAGATACCGTGTATATTCGACTGGAATATACCATATCGATAATTTTACATTCGTACTTGTTACGTAATGAAATAAGTGTCAACGTAAAAAGAACCAGCAGGTGGTATATATTCTAAAGTGTTTATCGCCTTCCATTATACATCTGACGATGACATTTAGCTTTAGGGCCAGCTTGTTTTCGCGAAGAATTTTCTTTAAATTTTTTTTATATTTATAACATTTGGTTAAAAAATCATGTTAAAGGTAATCTGAGCATAACGTCCTCGCAATTTCTTGTTCAGATCCAGGGACACAGATGTCGGAATGAATAAGAATACACTAAATTCTTAAACGATATGTTGTAAAATGGACACCAAGCACATTTTGATAGTGTACTTTAGTCTAATAGATTTTTTTGGTGTATGTTCTATGTTCTGGAAACTTCATCATTCCATCAAAAATAAATTAAATGTTATTAATTTTTAATATTATTTGCGAGGCTGCATGCACATTGCACCTATTATTTTCTTATGTTTCTTTTCCGCCATGCATAAGTTTAATGTTTACTGTGACTTCTTTATATAATAATGTGTTTCATCGATTTAAAAAACTTAATGCTAAAAATAATTGACCGACACGGAGCGATAGCACGGACATTGGAAAATGCTTCTGAAAGAGGATTGTTCGCAATTCATTTTGAAAAAAAAACCTGTGAATTATTTTGATATCCTTATGATAGTGTTTCTTTTTGGCAGCATTATATTTTGTTGATTATTCAATATATTTATATGGTATTTAATTGGCATTTATGTACATGTACATGCATAATAATAATCCCTTGGATATATTTTAGTTGTTTGATTGTTGGTTGTTTAATGTCCAGTGTAAACTATTTCATACATTTCTATGAAGAAAGAGGTCTCATTCCAAGGAAGATTTGAGGTGTTTTTCGTGCAAAATGAAATTTAAAGAATTAAATCCGTGTTTCAAAGTCAAACAAGATAATTATCATTTTTCTTCATATTTCTTTTAAAAAATTTGAATATCCATATAATTCAAATCTGGTTTTGTTTTGTTTTGTGCTCAATGGAATTCACTACGACAAATTCAATTTTATTGACAATTTTGGGATCAAATGTGATGAGGTTTATATGTAGGTATGTGCCAAACAGGGTAACACTAAACTGGTAAGTTGGAGACCATTCATTCTTCGTTTAGATGAGACACATCTTCAAAATCAATACAGTTTAAAATTTTGGGAAGTTAAAAATTGAAAAAAAGATTTTGTTTTTAATGTTTACTTTGGACTAAGAATTTATATATAAACCTCTTCAATTTATTACTCTTCATCTGAGCAAAATTATTTCAAATGTGAATTGTTTTAAACCGATTTAAACAGTAGAGAACACCTTGGGTAACGACAATAAGACAGCAATCAAACAACAAAAAACACATAAGGACATCTAGTGATAGCAAGTTATACTAAATGTTCATGACTTACGAGTATTTTTCTCATTAGATTTCTAAGACTCTTGTGAAATTGATCGATGAGCAGCTTTTTACAAATACCGAAGAAAAAAGATATGGTGTAAACGTCAATGGACAAGCAACCCAACGAGAAAAATGAAAAATTTAATAGGCAATTATAACTAGTTTTTAGTTGGAAAATCATTCAATGCCATGTACCCCAAGGGTGACTGGGGAATAGAAGTATGGTCACCATTGGTCTTCCTCCGACCGGCAGTAAAACCCGTGCTAAAGTGGGGCGTCCGTTTGGCTGTGCGGGATGTACAAATTTGCAGCCACGTCCGGTCAGAATGGGGACGTTAAATCCGATGCCTCGTGTAAAGAGAGTGCCACGCTCTTTGCACGTTAAGAACCCTTGCAACAACTCTTTGAGGGGTCCGTAGGTGGCCTGTTGCAAGGCTAAATTTCTGTCCCTATCCAATATACCCTCATTTC